TCGGAAGCTTGGGCAATGGCGTTGCTGCTTGGCTGGACGGGGGGAGGCCCTCCGGAGTCGTCGTTGTCATCGGGTGGCGAGTTCTCGGGCTTGCTTTGGAGGAGAAAGTTACGCGTTTAAAGTTGCATGCTCAGTGTTGGTGGGTTGAATGCTTCGGAGGTGGACTGTGACTCGTTGCCTTTTGCCCGTGTCGCACGGCGTCCTTGGAGTCCTCCTGATGGGATGGGCACGCCTCAGCGAAACAGCGAGCGGCTCGTGCTGGTCATCGACGCTCCGTTCCTCCCTGGGGCATCCCCAACGAGCAACTCCGTATGCTCCTTAACCCGTCTTCTGGTATGGCGCGGAGAAGTGCTGGATTGGTTCTACCGCGCCGCCACCTGAGACAGCCTGGATTGAGATGGTGCTGTTCGATCTTGTTCGTTGCAAGGAGCAGGCGCCGCTGCGTTGGCATTCGTCATGGCTTACTGAGATTCCAAGCAATGACGCCACAGTAGGATGGGACGATGTTCGCGATCTGCATGAGTTCTGTGCGTGCTTTCTCTGGTGCATACATGGCTACTCTTTGACATCGTGGGCCGGTCGTGGCGTCACTGAGCTTTCCTTTGGCATGGTAGTCGGCTGCCTGCACTTCTTCAAGCTTGCGCAATTCGCTAGGCTAACCTTCGCAGCGAGGCCTTTTAACTTGCAAGTGTTTCTAAATGGGCTTCGACATTCACTCGTTCGTGCTGGCACTGCTGATGAGGGAAGCATTTGATTGGCATTGGGATCTGGGGCCCGCATGAGCCATCGTGCCGGTCCGCACTGGTTCCTGGGCGTTTTCCATGGCAAGATCGATTGATCTTTAGAGAGCCTCGGTAACATGCGCACACATGCAACCGTGCCTCTTTCCGGAATGCATCGCCATACTGATTTGGGAACTTGCACTTTTGTGGGCAACGCAAAGACGACTCTTACTGCTGATGGTTTCCCGTCTTGTTTGCGATTCGCCTTGGTGGTCTCCCGGCGGCTGGATGAAACCCTCGTCGGTGCGCGTCCGGGTACGCCTTCAATTCTTCAGCGTCGGCGTAAACGCGAAGCCGTTGTGTCATGTTCTGGCCCTGACTCTCATGCTTCTGATCGGCCTGCTTGCTCCCCTGATTGTAATGTTCCTGGTCGCGTCGTGTCAGTTGCGCGCCGTCTTGGTGGCTGGCGTTATCTATCGAATCTCTGGGGGACAGTTTGACCACCATCCACCATAGGAGCCCAGAGACAACCCACGACAGTGTTGCTCGGTTTGGCAGTTTCCGGGCCCCTCCCCGAAGAGAGTTTGCTGTACTTGTTTGCTGCTCGTTGGGCATTGCGACGACATTGTCTGGTGCTGCTGTTCAGGTTGCTTCTCGCACTGGCCTCGCTTTGATCGATGAGGCACGGGGTGATTCGGGGCGAAGGGCCATCATGGGGCGACGTCCTCATCTCTCTCGTGGTCTCGTGCTTGCAGCTTCGTCTAGTGAAGTTCGCTACAAGGAAGAGGAAGGGGAGGAGGAGGAGGAGGAGGAGGAGGAGGAGGAGGAGGAGGAGGAGGAGGGGAAGGAGGAGGCGGGGGAGGAGAAGGAGGAGGGAGGGCCGCGTCAGGATGACCCAGAGGCCTTCAGCAATAGCAATAGGAGGAGGACATGCCACCTGCTTTCCTGAAGAGGTGACGGAAAGAGCGAGGTACGAGCGAGTGACGTTGAGCAGGGGGCGAAGCCCTTCTTAGGGGGGGTGCAGGGGGGGGCGTGTGGACCGGACGTTTTGGCCTAATCGCCCTCGTGGCCTCTAAGACGCGCCCCAAACGGCCCAAGAGGCCCCCGAGACAGTCCAAGAGGGGTGCAAAACGGCTCCAAGACGGTCCAAGAGCGCTCCAAGACGCCCAAGTTGGGTCCGGGACGGTGCAAGACGGCCCCAAGACGCCCGAAGATGGCTCCGAGACGGTCCAAGAGGCTCCCAAAACGCCCCAAGTGGCCTCCAAGAGGCTTTCCAAGAGGCCCCGAGGAGGCAAGAATCATTGATTTTTCAATTGTTTTGGAAGGTTTTTTTTTTGGATTTCGCTTTGTCGGGCCATGAACTGCCGAAAACGACCCAGGAGGCTCCAAAGATCGTCCAAGGACGGCCCAAGAGGCCCCCAGAAGCGAGCGAAAACGGCCCAAGAGTGCCCCAAGACGGCCCAAGAGGGCCTCGAAACGGCCCAAGAGAGCCCCAAGACGGCCGAAGAGAGCCCCAAGAGAGCTCCAATAGACTCCCAAGACCGCCCCAAGAGACTCCCAATAGAGCCCCAAGACGGCGAAAGCCCTCCAAGATGCACCCAGACGCCCGAAAAGGGCCCCACGACGCCCCAAGAGGGCCCCAAGACAGTCGAAATGGGCCCCCAAATCAGCCCAGAAGGATTCCCAAGAAGGCCCAGAAACGCCGAATAAAAGAGCGATCGGTAACGCAAAAAGCTCTGCACACCAAGGTTCCCAACAGCGAACGGTTACGCGCGCCTGCGACGGGCTTGGGGCTGTTGTGGGCGCGGAGCCTTTCACTAGGGCCAGCTTTTCATCCCGAGGAAAGGGGGGGCTGTAGATTCAATTTGCCACTTCCCGACCTGGCCGACATCGAACTCTGCTACCTCTACCGCTGGTTGAAGCGTCAGTGGCGCTCCGGGGGGCTCGGTCACGGCATCGGAAAGGTCGACGCTGTTTTGCCAAACGGGAGGCTTCTCAGTGGAGCTTCGGCCTATGAGACACTTGCGAGCGCACGGGAGCTTCGCCCAAGGCGGTTGAACGGCAAGCGCAATCTCCGTGCGTACTGGGGCGTCGACTGAAACCTTCGCGTGGCCGTCGCAACTGCACGGCAGCTGGATTCAAGCCTCCCTCCCGGGGTACGCAGTGCAGGGGCGAGACTGCGAGCCACTGTGAGCGCCCGCGTTGCTCGCATCGATTTGTTCAACTGTCTTGCTGTGACAGGAGATAGTCGAGGGCGACGACACATGACGAGAGGCAGCGGCGTGCTCTGATGCCGCCCGATGTACGCAAGAGCTCCGTTGCTGGATTTTGCCAGCCTGCCCATTTGAAGCGGCGGGCCGCTCACTGGGGTGAATCCCCAGGACAGAGTCTAGCGAATTGCTGTCTCGTACTGCGCCGCGCATGTGGGTCCATGGCATTCACCTCGGCTCGCGCTCGTTAATTTAAATTCACGCTTCCAGCATCTCAATGTTCTCGGCCATGCAGGTTAAAACGGCCATGTGGGTTCGAACGGCCATACCGGTCAAAACGGCCATGCGGCTTAACACGGCCATGCGGGCTCATACGTCCGTCGTGGTTCAAACGGTCATGCGGGTTAAAACGGCCATGCGGGTTCAAACGGCCATGCTGCTTCAAACGGCCATGCGGGTTAAAACGGCGATGCGGGTTAAAACGGCCATGCGGGTTCAAACGGCCATGGGGGTTCAAGCGGCCATGCGGGTTGCCGCGGGGTGTGGGGACTCGGCTGTCTGGGTGTGGGGACTGGGCTGTCTCGGTGTCACAGCAAGACCTCTGGTTTCTGTACTTCTGCAGACTGTCCGGCGTCCTTACAGATCTCGTCTTCTCGCGCACGTGGAACCCCCCGCGCGCGGAATGTTTGCAAGAGCCGGCGGTAACATGAGAAACGTTGCAAGAATTGTGTCTCTCATTCACTAAACATTACAAACACGGAGGCTCGCTGTACGAACACAGACGTGCGAAGTGGTTCACCACCAATGCTCCCAGTGCGAAAGTTGACGTGAATAATTTGTAGACGCCAAGGCTCCCAGTACGAACGACGACGTAATGAGCTTCGAACGCCAAGGTTGCGATTACGCACAGTGGTGTGAGACATCTCGGTTTCTGTTTCTGAGGCGCTCTTTCCGTTTCCGTGCCGGCCCAGGTGACGGAAAGAGCGAGGTACGAGCGAGTGACGTTGAGTAGGGGGCGAAGCCCTTGTTAGGGTGGGTTTAGGGGGGGGGCGAGGCGCGGACGCCTGGTCTAATACCCCGTTTCCCTTGTACTTGTTCGAGTGAAGCGGCTCCTGGGCGGCTCCCATGGCCCGTTTCTCCCAAGACGGCCCAGAGGCCCCAAAGATCGTCCCCAGACGGCCCCGGAGGTGCCCCAAACGGCCCCAAAACGGTCCAAGAGGGCCCCCAGACGGGCCCAAGACGGCCTACGAGGCTCCAAAGATCATCCCAAGACGGCCCCAGAGGCGCCCCAAAGGGGACCGAAACGGCCCAAGATGGCCCCCAGACGGCTCCAATACGGCCAAGAGGGCCCCGAGGGCCCTAAGAGAGCCCAAGAGGGCCCCAATAGGCTTCCCAGCGCCCCCGAAGAGGAGGAGGGGGAGGAGGAGGAGGAGGAGGGGGAGGAGGGGGAGAGGAGGAGGAGGAGGAGGAGGAGGAGGAGGAGGAGGAGGAGGAGGAGGAGGAGAGGAGGAGGAGGAGGAGGACGAGGAGGAGGAGGAGGAGGAGGAGGAGGCGGAGGCGGAGAGGAGAGGAGGAGGAGGAGGGGAGGAGGAGAATGAGGAGGAGGAAAAGAAGCAACGAGGACGAGGCCAAGGAGAGGAGGGAGGTAGAAGGAGGAGGGGGAAGGAAGAGGAGGAGGAGGAGGAGGAGGAGGAGGAGGAGGAGGAGGAGGAGGAGGGAAAGGAGGAGGAGGCGGAGGAGGAGGAGGAGGCGGAGGAGGAGGAGGAGGCGGAGGCGGAGGCGAGGAGGAGAAGAGGAGGAGAAAGAGGAGGAGGCGGAGGAGGAGGAGGAGGAGGACGAGGCCAAGGGAGGAGGAGGGATGTAGAAGGAGGAGGAGGAGGAGGAGGACGAGGCCAAGGGAGGAGGAGAGAGGTAGAAGGAGGAGGGGGAGGAAGAGGAGGAGGAGGAGGAGGAGGAAGAGGAAAAGGAGGAGGAGGAGGAGGTGGAGGAGGAGCGAGGGGTGGCAGTACGAACGGTGGTGTGAGTAATTTCGGTGAATGTGTTTGAGGCGCTCTTTCCGTTTCCGTGCCGGCCCAGGTCTAATAGCGGCGTCAGCCTCCTCCATGAACTTGTTCGTGTCCAGCGGGACCGTCCAGAGGTCGGCATGCCTGGGACCCCCCCCCCCTCCCTTGCGGTCCTCGCTCGTAGGAAGGCGGGGGGACGAGGAGGGAAGGCGGGGGAGGAGGAGAACGCGGAGAGGGGGGAGGAGGAAGGGGGAGAGGGGGAGAGAGGACGGGGAAGGCGAGAGAGGAGACTGAGGAGAATGAGGAGGAGCAGCCAAGAGAGAAACGCTGTGACTCTGCCCCGCCACCAGAAGCGGCCCTGGGAGGAATCTTCAAAATGCGACGTCGAGGTAACACTGAGTACCAACAGCGCGATCAGCCAACACACAGTGTGCTTGATGTTGCACCGCCCTCCCTCCTTGGCAGCGTGCAGAAATTATGCTAGCGAAGTCGAGGCTAGAGCGCGAGTGTCCGCCGACCCCCGCTTACCTGGAGTGAGCAAGCGTGTGAACCACCCTCCCCACTTCCCCCTCCAAAGGAATCCAAAATCCCGTTTGAAGGGGTGATGGGTGGGCCTTCTGGAGGCTTCCGGGACCCGTCGGAGGCGAGCAAGGGCAGCTATCCGTAACGCAGAGGGGAGAAGGAATCCATGTGCGCCGTCGCGCATGTTTGGCAAGGGAAGAGTTATGCCGTGTACGCACAGAGACCCACAGGGCCCCCAACATGCCCTTGCAACATCGCGCGAAGGCCATAAAACATACCCAACGCGTGTCCAGACCACCAAACCCCACACTCACTGATTGAGAACACTGCGTGCCACTTCCACCGCTCAACGCCCCTCGCCTGTTACTCCTGGTGATTTGATTACCATCCCCCACCTCCTCATCATCATCTCCTATATTCCCCCGCCTCCGCCACCCGCCTTGGAGGCTTCAAGCAAGCAGGACCGACAACATACCCAGAACAATGAACAAACCCAAGACAGGACCCACCGCTGAGGGAATAGCCACAGGGACTTGACAACGTCGTCCTGCCCACTCTCCCTCATCCCCTTAGCCTCCTTATCCTTCCTGCGCATTGCGTCGCGCTTCGTTGTCCTCCTGTTCCCTGCCGTACTCGGGAACCCGTGCAACCCACATTACACTCGCCCAATTTCGGGGTCTGCGTAATGGCGTAAGCTTCTTAGGCAACATCCAACAGCCCTCCACCTGTATGGCTGCTGGATAGTTCGAATTGCACCATAGCGAATACCAAGACAGAATAGCAATGTAGCGATTCCGGGAACACCCCCGCAACTTGTGCGGCATGACGGGTTGCGCCCCTCTCCTCCCCACGTATTCCCCGCCTTTCTACTACACGTCTCCGTCCTGATCTACAAGAAGAACGTTGTAGCCGATACCCCTGGCGGCAAAGACCCGAATTAGGGGAAATAGACTTGTGAACTGTACTGTAGGCACGAGGGGCTCGGCGGCGAGCGAGGGGGGGAAGTGAGAAGGAGAAGGCCTTCTCAGAAGATTCAGAAGTCTCCCAGCCTCTGGGAAGTTTTCGAAGCTTTCCCCGACGACAAAATAACATCTCAGAAGGCGCGAGGGCTTCTGAGAAGTCCCGCCGCCTTCTGAGAAGGCCTTCTCATTCTCATTTCCCCCCTCGCTCGCCTCCGAGAAGCCATACGGGAAACCATACGGGGTAACATACGGGAGACCATACGAGAAACCAGACGGTAGACCATACGTGAGACCATGCGGGAGATCACACGGGACAACGTACAGAAGACCACACTGGAGAACATTCTGGGGCCACACAAGAAAAACCATACGGGAGACTACGAGCCACCGCTTCCAGATCCGGGAGGCTCACGCCTGGCCTTACCTTTGAAGCGATACAGGGAACCGCTCACACACGTTTCCCGTGGTCTGCAAGGACCTCCGGAACATAGTCTGATTTGTATTCGACGCTCCTGATGTTGCCCTCCGTTTCCTCGTCGTCCTCGTCGTCGTCGTCGTCCACCTCCTCCTCCACTCCAAGTGGAGGAGCAGGCAGGGAAATGGAGGACAAGGAGAGGGTAGCACGATGAGGGCCGATGGGGGTTGCCTGGACCCCTCCTCAGCACCATCCTGACCCGTTCTCCAAGCGACCTCCAGCCGTAGCGACGAGGAACTCTGCCCCTCCTCCTCCTTCTCCTCATCATGCTCCCCCTCCTCCTCCTCATCCCCCTCCGCCGCCTCCTCCTCCGCCTCCGCCTCCCCCTCCTCCTCCTCCTCCTCCTCCTCCTTCTCGTCCTCCTCCTCCTCCTCCTCATCCTCCTCATCCTCCTCCTCATCCGCCTGCGCATCCATCATCCTCTGCCTCCTCCTCCTCCTCATCCCCTCCTCCTTTCTCCTCCTCCTCCTCCTCCCTCCCTCCTCCCCGCCTCCTCCTCCTCCTCCTCCTCCTCCTCCTCCTCCTCCTCCTCCTTCCCCTTCTCCTCCTCCTCCTCCTCCTCCTTCTCCTCCTCCTCCTCCTCATCATCATCATCCACCCTGTCCCCCCCGTTCCACCATCCTCCAGGAGGGGGGCGAACCACGGCGGCCACCAGGGGAGATCCGAGGAGGCGAGATAAACACCAGGTCAACTCGGGCTAGCTGACCCGAGGAGGCCAGCGACGGTGCGCCGCCTGAAAAGTGCAACCCACCGCCACCAATGGGGAGCCCTCAGGAGTGCGCACGCGCCCAACCGCGAACATGAACACGGCCCCCCAGTCCGCGAGGCCAGCCGCGGGATACGGACGTTTGCGCAATGCGTGCTACAGAAGCTAACGTGGATGCATGTACGCGTGCGTCCTTCTATCGCTCCTGAGCCAGGGCAAGAGGCATATGTGACAAACTCCAGGAACCCTGAACCCAACAAGCTGACGCTTCACTTTGAACTACGGGCCCGCCGCCTTTAATGGGCGGACCTGCAGCCGTCGTTGTTCTTCGTTCAGCTTCCGCCGAAGGCGGAAGCCCCTGCTTATGGCCGCACGGGGAGGAGGAGGAGGAGGAGGAGGAGGAGGAGGAGGAGAAGGAGGATCAGCGATGTTGGAATTAAGCCTCCCTCCAAGCTCCCTCTCCACAGGCCCCTACAACGGTTCATTTCCATTGGGGGAGCTTCCTCGTTGGAAGACAACCGTTTGAAGGCCTTGAAGCATCTCGGCACATTGTTCTCGGGATGCCCACGTCACGGATCAGACTGACTGCTGCGTCCTGACGATCTGGAATTGTACCAGAACGCTATTTTTGAGACTCCAACACCGCGAATCAACAAAACTGCTGCACCCGCGTAACCAGGAATCCTTCAGGCACACCATGTCTGGTACGTTGATCATGGGCACCCGTGAATCTCTTGCAATTGTTCAAAAAAATGCTCGCGGCGCGAATGCGAAAACCACATGTTTGAAAGGAAGCGCACTCGATCCGTGAAACTCTCACAAATGTTTACAACGAATGTGCTCGGCGCTGAAGCGAGAACCACATTTTGAAAACCACCCGCCCTCAATCCGTGAATCTCTTACACATGTTTATAACGAATGTGCGCGGCGTTAAAGCGAGAGCCACATTTTGAAAACGGCCCGCCCTCAACCCGTGACGCTCTTGCATTGCTTAACGGATGTGAACCGCGCTACAACGAAAATCACATTTTGAAAACGACCCGCCTTCAATCCGTGAAATGTTTGCAAATGTCTAACGCGGAGCTGAGGCGACAACCACAGATTGAAAACCACCCGCCCTCAATCCGTGAAACGCTGGCAACTTGTTAGAACGAATATGCGCGGCGCTAAAGCGAGAACCACATGTTGGAACCGACTCACCCTCAATCCGTGAAGCTCTTGCAGTTTCTCAAAACGAATGCGCTCGGCGCTAAGGCGCTAAGGCGCTAACGACCCGCCCTCGATATCTGAAGATGTTGTCAGTTGCAAAGCTTCTGAAATAACAAAAATGGTGAGGAAGTCTCAAGCGAAAAGCCCGGCCCGCCCTAAACACTTGCCCAGGGGTGTGACAGGGAGAAATTACGCATAAGGAAAAAGGGATGGAGGAAACGAAAGAGGAGGACCAGTAAACCCAAGGCCCATCAACGATGTTAGAATTAACCCTCCCTCCAAGACCCCTCTTCGTTAGCCCCTACAACGGTTCATTTCCATGGAGGGAACTGCCTTGTTGGAAGACAACCCTTGGAAGACCTTGAAGCATGCCAAAACATTGTTCTCGGGATTTCCGCGCCACGGATCAACCTGACTGCTGCGTCCTGATGACCTGGAATCGTGCCAGAACGCCCTTTTTGGGACTCCAACACCGCGAACCAATAAAACTGATGCACCCGCAAATCCCGGAATCCTTCAAACATACAATTTCTGGTACGCTGATCACGGGAATCCGTGAAATGTTTTACAAATTTTTCAAAAAAAAGCACAAAAAAACGAATGTGCACGGCGCTAAAGCGAGCGCCACATATTGAAAAGGAACCGCCCTCTATCCGTGAAGATCTTGCAATGTTTCAAAACGAATGTGCACGGCGCTAAAGCGAGAACCACATTTTGAAAACCACCCGCCCTTAATCCGTGAAACCCTTGCGAATTTGTTAAACGAATGTGCGCGGCGCTAAGGCGATAACCACATTTTGAAATTAACCCGCCCTCAATACGTGAAACTCTTGCGATTTGTTGAAACGAATGTGCGCGGCGCTAAAGCGAGAACCACATTTTGAAAAGGAACCGCTCTCAATCCATGAAGCTTTTGCGAATTTAAAACGAATGTTTTTTGGGGGGGAGGCCGGACAGAACACCTGGAATGGAGGAACGCACGTAGCTCAGGAGAAGGAGGAGGACGAGGAGAAGCAGAAGCAGGAGCAGGAGCAAGAGCAGGAGAAGGAGGAACACGAGGGTGGGCGGCATCGTGCTTGCCCCCGGTCCCCTCTCGGCTACACGCGAGAGCGAAGAGGGACAATAACAAGTTTTGGTGCGCGGCTTGCCAACCGCTGCACCCGATGCTGCAATACTGGCTTGCGTGTTCGGACTTGCACTCCCCTGGAATGCAGAGAAGACCACGCACCAAAAGGTCACTCCTGGCAAGGGTCACTCCCAGACCTCCAATGCTTCATGTGTTATGGCTTGTCTTTATGTGTAATATGTATTAATATGAATTGTATTAGCAATCAGTGGGATCCCACGGCCTCTCGACAACTTCCTGGGGACCCGTTTTTCGCCCCAAGGTCCCAGAGCGTTCCTGTTGGTCCTGGAGGCCGAAAGCAGTGACGGAAGCCGAAAACGACGGAGAAAACCTCCGCCTTGATGTTGTCAAGCCGCTGCGAGTCTGGAATTTTGTGCGCGGCCAGCCCGCGCGGGCGCGCCAGGCGGTGATGCCGTTGCCGGGGCGCTTCCAGAAGAGCGAGTCCTGGGGAGGGGTCCGCGCCGCCACAAGCGGAGGGGCGCTTCCAGACGAGCGGGTCCTACCGAGGGGGCCCCAGGCCGCTCCTCGCGTCGCGAAGAAAAATCACGACGACATAATTTAGGCAAGTTTCTGCCCCCGGGCAGTCCCGTCAGGCCCACGGACCGTCAAACGAAAATGAAACACCGGCCCCAGGGAAGGGGAGGAAAGGGCCTGTAGACCTCTGGGGGCCCCCTCTTTTCGGGGGTTGCGAAAGGTACTCCTGGCCCAAGGTGCCCCCAGCTTTTTGCTAGATTTTGGAGCCTCTGGGGCCCTCTTGGCCTCGTTGGGGGGTGCTCTGGAGGCCGTGGGGGCCTCCTTGGAGATCCCGAGGGCACCTTGGGCCAGGGGCACTTACAGCAACACCCGATCTGTGGCACAAAAAAAACAAACGTCGGCTGTATGGGTTCCCTTCGGCCTGCCATGCGGGTGATCCCGTGCCGGCAGATGGCCAGCAACGGGACAGACAGCCTCCACTGCGCCCACGGCTCGCGCGCTTCGGGCAAGACCGGTCCCTCCTCCATTTGTTTTCCCCGGCCCCCCACTTTCACCTAGGTGTGGATGGAATCGAGCAGGGGTCTAGCCGTCCCGCCATTTCTGTAGGCCTACCACGAAGTGTCCCAGAACACGAAAAGTTGCTCATGACAGAACAGTGTTATGAGAAGATAAAGCCAGCGCTTTGGAACAAGACGATCTCAACCACAAATGTTCAAAAAACATTTCGTGCACGCCACATAAAGGTCTTCAGACAACTCTTCGGTGGGCCTATAGGCGAGCAGGGACTCCTCGCCACTGCTTGATGGAAAGGGACGAAAGAGACGGGGAAAGCGCGATCGCCGCGGCGCGCCTGCGCGAAAGCCTTGGAGCACGAAGCCTCGCAGCACGAAGAGCCTCTCGTCCCCACGCGAAGGACGTTGGTAGGCGAGGGCGGCCCCGGAGACCCAAAAAGGCGAGAAAGACGAGGGCGATCGATCGATCGAGCAGTCGGGCCGATTCGGGGCTGCTTCGCGTCAGCTCGGGCGGCATGGCAGCCGCAGGCCCGGTGCGGCAAATTGCACTGGCTTCGCGGAGGGGGATCGGACGCGCGAGCCGCCGAGTGAGGCGAACGTAGGAAGAAGCACCGAAGAGCTCCTGCGCGCCATCCTCGCGGGGCCGCGCGGGCCAGAGCTGAAGAAGCAATGAAGAGCCTCTTGCCGACGCGCGCGCGCGCTCTTCACGTGGGGCCGCGCGGGAAGAAACAGACGCGCGGCCAGTTGACGACGCGAGGGTTGGACCGCGGGCGCGGCTAGAATTCTCGCTCGCGGGCCAGGAGCGGGCGCGGAATTCGTGCCGCGCGCAGCGCAACTCAGGGAAGAACCGCGTACTCACGTCGAGGGCCAACATCAACATGCACTTACACTTTCGGGGGCCCGCGCGGACTTCTTGGGTCGGCGCTGGAACTCCCCCCTCCCTGGCGGCGCGAAACGCACCAGGGCAGAGAGGTCCAGCGAAGACCGAAGAAATCCCCGCGGACCTCCGAACGTGTAGGTAGGTCTGCGGTCAGGAACTTCTGCTCAGCGCGCCGCGGAAGGGCCCCCCTCGACACGCTATGCCCTGCGAGCTGGTAATCTGTCGCTCCGCGAGAGGCCTTGACGCGCTCGGGACGTTGACGCTCGGGGACTGGGATGTGCTTAGTGTGCCTCGCCGAGGCGTAGTGGGCCCAAAATTGCGGTGCCCCGCGCTCTGCACAAGTCCCTGACCGTATACAAGCTGTTGCTCTCTGGACCTCCTCTTCCCCGTCGCCACGGATGGACCCGCGCCGATGTCCTGGTGGGAACGCGAGAAAGCAAACCCGTCTGATCGCTATTCCAACCCAGACCTCCAACGGTTCGATGTTGTTCAATCCGCGGCATCAAAACTCCCAAACCCTTCCATGGAGGTAGGTTCTCGCCTTGGATCCGAAATCGAGGAGAAGCGCCGCTGGAAACTGTCAGAAATATATACTCGGGGGACAAATGCGTAATGGCATAAGCATACAGTTTCGGAGGTCCGCGCGGCTTTCTCATGTTTCGGATCGGCGCTGGAGCCCCCTGGCATCGTTTCCGGCGCCGCCCCCGGCGCGGTCCGCGCGCCAGGGAGGGGCCCAGCGCCGATCCAGGAACTCAGCAAGGACCTCCGGAAGCGAATCTTGATGCCATCCTCTGTTCCCCGACACAGAGACGCGGAGACACGAGCCTGGGCGGCCTGGAGCCCTGGCCCCCCTGGGGCGCCGAAGGGCGCGGGGACCCCCCAGGCCCGCAGGGAGGAGGAGGAGGAGGAGGAGGAGGAGGAGGAGGAGGGTTACGAGGGTTCCGATTACGTGGCTGTTGTCTCACAGCCCTGGGACGCAGCCCGAAGCGGCCCTACCTATGCAGGGGCACGTGCCGAACCCAATGGCCCAGCGTTCCGAAGAAAATCAACGCGCGATGAGGGACGCCAGAGACACGCCCGATGGCAGGAAGGGAGCCCGCGCCGCCGCCGCGCGGAGCCGACCACAGGGGGGGATGGCTACCTCCCGAGTGGCATCGGCAAACGCGGCCGGGGGAGGGGACCGATGCCCTTCCACGAGGTATCAATCCCCCCCGTGGCCATCAGGCCTCTCCGGGCTCGACACACGACAGTGTGCCAAACCCGCACCTTAATGAATTCGAGCACCTGTATCCAGTCGCTCTTCACGAACGCATTCAAAGACAGGAGGAAGCAGTCGACGAAAGCTTCGAATCAGGAGGCTAAGGGTCCCTGCCGTTTTCACGTGGCGAGAGCGCTCCACGTGTCCCCGGCCCTGCGCGGTGTGCACCACGCAACTCACAACGAAAGAACCCGAGCTCCTCCAAATCATCACACCGAGCTTCACGACCGTGTTTCACTGCAAAAGCCTTGACGACCTTGCCGAAGAGCATCCACTTCCCGGCCTGGTCGCCCTCACATCCCGGAGCCCATGGCGGCTCCCCCGCGCTGCGCCCCCCCCACGTGCGCGCGGGGATGGCCCCCTCCCTGGAGCCAGGAGGGGCTAGGAGGAGGAGGACGAGGAGGAGGAGGAGGAGGAAGAGGAGGAGGAGGAGGAGGAGGAGGAGTGGTGGTGGAAGATTGGCTCATCAAGGGGGGTCCTGGTAGAGTCGCACCCCGGCCACGCCCAGCAGCGCGGCGGCGGCCCCCAGGAGCGCCGGCGAGAGCGCCAGCCTCGCCCGAAGGGGGGCCCCGACGCGGTGCTCCGCGACCGCGCCGCGCGACGGTCGAAGCAGCGCGTATGGGCGGTCGAGAGCCGCTGCTCGGCCTACCGCGGCGGCGCCCCCGGCGACACGCTGCGCCGTGCGAGCGGGTAGCGTGCCGCTCCGCTCCGCGGGCCGGGAGGCTCCGAAGCGTGGCGGGCCAGAACCGGCGGCGCGACACGCTGGGGCACGAGTTCCTACATCCGCCGAACTCTCCCATTGGACGAAGCCCCACCCCTGGAAACTCACCCCCTGTGCCCGATGCGCATGGCGGCAAGTGCCCGGAGCGCCCTGGGGGGGGGGTACGTTATTGTGTGTATAGGGTTACGACCGAGGAGTCGAACCTATACGATTCTCCGTTGGCAGAAGTGAAAGAGGAAGACGTTAGCTACTCCTTTTCCAAGGCGCTGCGCGGAGAGCAGCGCGGTGTGTACACCAGTACCTGAACCGATACGTCAGCGGTATGTGATGCTAGAGTGGTGATACGAGCGGACTTCATACACGGCTATAGGGGGGGAGGGGCGGCCGGGGGCCATAATGCCCATTAGACACGCTCCTGCTGGAATGCCGTCGTCCGACGTGCACACACCTCCACCGGCCCTCGGCCTCCGCAGGCCGCCCAGGCGGCGCCTCGGACCCCACGGGCTCGGCCGCGCCCGCGCCGCGGGTCGCCCGCGGGCGCCCGTTTTTCCTTTCCCCCGGGGGGGGCCCAAGCGGTGCTCCGCGGCGCCATGCTTGCTTTAGGTCGGGCATGTCCCCATACAGTTGAATCTTGGACGAATCATTCAAACGAGTCCAGATATAATCAGAAATCAGAAATTGTGTATACATAAATCCCTGACTATTTTTGACTATTTTTGAACTCCTCCTGTAGAGGGGCAGGCCCAACGTAATGCTTGCTGCCTGCTGCGTCCCCCCTCTTCCTTCTCGATGTTTCTGTTGCGTTGTCGTTCTGCAGGGGAGATCTGTAGCCAGATGCTCGGGTGGAGGGGAACCCGAGGACTCGGAGAGATAAACTTGGCACGACCTTCTTGAATTAGATCGGCCGGATTTCCGGCCAACACACATGTGTGCCACCCCTCCCGGCAGCCTCCGAGCCGCGCTGTGCCTCTGCGACGGATTGTGCACCTGAACGAAGGGCAGCGCCGAAGGCACCGAGACCCGCTCGCCCGTGGACCGCATGGCCTCCCGCGGGCGCACGGCTGGCAGGGTCGTGCAGGGGACGCAACGGAAGAGCTGATGATGCACGTGAGATGTTTTTGTTTGGGGGGGAGGGAGAATGAGAGAGCGGGCGCAGCAGTACGGTGACAAGCTCGGCGGCGCATCGTGCAGCCACTGGCCTACTTCAGATGCCGTGCACTCTCATGGGACTCAGGCGTCCCGCCGCAAGCTCTGATGGTGCCCGTGAGCTGGCTTGTCGTGGCGGCTCGTGCGGCGAGTCCCTTGGTCACCCCAACTCGCGTTTCGCCCTGCGCGAGGCGCGATGGGCTTCGTGCTCTCGCGCAAACGCCCTGCACAAGAGAGACTCTCCAGCCCAGGCCGCTCAGCGCGAAGCACCGCTGTCGCAAGGCCACTGCGGGAGACTAATAGGTTTCCGTCATCGCGGCGACTGTCGGGGCGACAGGAGAGGGGCTGCTGGCAAAGGGAAGGATAGCGAATCAGCTGCATGCAAAGCCAGCTGCGAACATCAGGTTTTGCACCCCCCTTTCTAGAGGAACAGAAAATAGCATAACTATGCTTTCGGAGGTTCGCACGGATTTCTTGGATCGGCGCTGGACCCCCCATCCCTGGCGAGCGGGGCGCGCCAGGGGCGGCGACAGAGGCGCCGTCAGGGGGCACCCAGCGCCGATCCGAGAAATCCGGGTGGACCTCCGAGAGTTCATGTTTGTGGAATTCTGTGGTCCCTGACCTAACCCACTCCCCCATTCTCGCCCGCCCCGACTCTGTTCGCGCCATTTTGAGGGGTCCAGGCATGCCGCAGGGGGGTTCTTCCAGGCTTGAGCGCCCGCGCCCACGCTGCCGCCGCGCCGAGGCAGAGACGGCACAAAGCTAGAGTGGAAAAGGATCTCGGGACAGCAGTGGAGGTCACGTAGACAACACTTCGCCGACCAGGGCACGGATTAAAACTGTGCAGCAACTGAGTGGTCAAGCCTTACAGAGAAGACTGGAAGGCAAGATGAGGAGAACTGTTGAAGGGAAGGCACCGTGTTCGTGCCATGGAGCTGCTGCCAAGCGGAAGCTCGTCTGTGCACTGAACATATGGCAGCCCCTCTGCGGGGCCGTTGGGTGGTGGCCCGCGCGCACATGCCAGCATCTCAGCCACTTGCGCCCCGTGTGCTCTATGGTTCAACTGCGTATCCCCGAAGGAGGTGTCAGGATCGCCGCCCTCTTCACAGTCGCTTGCGCACTTGTTGGGCTGTCACTTCCAAGGCCGTGTTCTGTCGTGAGACACCCACATCGTCCCCCGCCCTCCCTCCTGTAAATCTTATCGTTCTGTTGGCCGACCGATCCGAACAGGGCCCTGGGACCGAAGGCATGTCTGTCTCACCGCTGCCATTTCGGACCAGGGCGCCCTTGGGCCGGTAGCAAGCTACCGGGACACACGCACAGTGTCCCAGCGCTCTGGAGAGCGCCACAGGGCCCACCAGGGGCCACTGATATCAAGAAATCGGTTCGCGGCTGCTGGCGAGAAAAAGGTGACTATCAAGGTAATCTTGACAGTGGTGTCGCCTTCATCTTCGACGAGGCTTACGCCAACGTCGACGATTTAGCCTTCCTCCCTTCCTACCCTTTTCTCCCCCTTCCCTCGCCCCATCCTCCTCCACCGTCTCCCGCTCCGTCTGCCCTCCCTTCCCACCTTCCCCCTCCCACCCTACTCCGGCATCCCCTCCATTCCCGATCACATCCCTGCCTCCGTGCACGGGGAAGCCCATCCAGACCTCAGACGTAAATGTATTTTCTCCAAGGGTCTGGACCACTTTCCTGCGACCTGCTCTTCCTCCTGAGCTGCTTCTTGACGGTCAGAAAACGAGTGCGGGCGAAACAGTCGCGCCGTGACTTCTTCCCGACGAGAGGAGACCAGGGCTCCTGCCTCTGCGCGTGGGAAAGCCTGACCGACACCACAGCATGCCGCCCCGCCCAGGAGGCACTCGCCGCGAAGACATGTGCGGTCCCAATGTCCCCACGAGTCCCTGGAGAGGCTGGGGGCCTCGCAGGCACTTCCGGGGGCCCACTGGGAGCTAGGAACCCCGACCCCCGACGTCATGATTTTTTCATTACGTTGACTACTGGAGGTGTCGACCCATTGCCCTGGACTGGTTTTTCATCTTGAGTCGTTTCTCGACGGTCCCCAGGGCGGGTAAGGGCCCACAGAAGCCGAAAATAGCAAGAAACCTTCCGTCTTGATTTTTTCATTACCCGAGAGGGCCTGGGAGAGTCAACCTCGGGACTCCCCCAGCCTCCGCTTCCGCCCGGTTCTTCCCCCCCCCCCCCTCCTCATGCGAACTAGCCTGCTCCGCGTGTCGCCCGGCCTGGTCTGGTCCTTGGGTGTGAGGACCCGCTGGGGGGGGGGGGTCGAGTTTCGTTTCGGCGTTCGACCTCGCCGTCCGTTGTCGCTTTCGCCTGTTGTCCTGATGTCTCTCGCCCCATTTTAACGAGAAACATGTCGAGCCCTATCCCAGGCTTCGTAAGGTTTTCGAACGGACCATCAATCTTTGACCCAGCCCTGGGATACACGATAGGGGGGCGTCCATCCTCGATAGGGGTGCGTCCGAATAGCCCCCTGAGGGTGTATCCCAGGGCTTCTGTTTCTGAGCGGCTAACGGGTGGAACCCGGGGATTGGGGGAGAAAACTCGCCTGCGATCTGCCACCCCGCTCCCTCCCCCCTCCTGCAATGCCCCGCGGCCACACACAGGAACGACTCTGGACAAGGGTGGCTTCTGGTCCGCGACGTCGGGGGGGGGGGCCGCATGGGGGGGGGGGGGGGCAGATATCCAGTCGCGCAGACCAGTGATGGGGGGTGAACCCCGGGGAGGGCCCACACCACAAAGCACTCTGGAACGGAGGGTATAGCGACCCCACTCCCCGACTTTGCGGGAGCGTCGACTGGACAACAAATTGGAGACAAACTCGGCGATACATATGTATATCTAAACACATCATCTAGATATAATTACACACATGCAGATACACATATCTTCATACGTTTACATACATACATCCATACATTCATCACTCCATCCATCCATCCATCCATCCACCCATACATACATGCATGCACGCATGCATGCATGCATACATACATGCATACACACATACATGTATGCATGCGTACATGCATGCATGCATGCATGCATACATATATACATACAGACCGACGTACCTATAAAAGTGCATACACACATACACATGCACGTACATACATTCATGCATACACACATGCATACATACATACACACACGTAAACACACATATACATACATATGTCCATCCATCCATACATACATATATACAGACATACCTGCATACATACATACATAACTACAACTGTACATGCATACCTGCATACATACACACATGCATGCATGCATGCATGCATGCATGCATGCATACATACATACACACAGACATACATATACACAAGCAAGCAAGCATCCATGCATACATTCATACATGCATGCATGCATGCATGCATGCATACATGCATGCATATATTCCTACATACATGCATGCATACACTCACACACACATACATACATGCATGCATACATATATGCATTCATACATGCATGCATGCATGCATGCACACACGCATACACACATACATACATACAGACATACATACAAACATACATACACCGATACCTACATAACTACATAACTACATACATACATACATACATACATACATACATACATACATACATACATGCATACATACATACATACATACAAACATACATACATACATACATACATACACACATACATGCATGTATGCATGCATGCATACATACATACATACATACATGCATGCATGCATGCATGCATGCATACATGCATACATACATACACACATACTTACATACCTACACCTAAATGTATACAGGGGGACACCCATCCTCGACAATGGTACGTCCGAGTAACCCGCCGGGGATGTGTTGCCGTGCCCGGGTGTCACTTCTTTTCGGAGCGGCATTTTTTCAAGTGCGCCGAAGACGGGAGCGGACCAGGAGAAAGGCGGTTGGCGCATCATGGCCCAAGGCAGGTGCGCGGAACTGGTGGGGGATGGGACAGCGCACGCATTGAAAGAAGAGGGGGCCATGAGATATGGGAGAGATCACGGCGCGGGCCACACACAACCCTGGTCCTGACCCTCCTTTAGGACGCCCGATGGTTTGGGGGGAGGGGTTCAAGTAGAGCCTCCAGCGGCCGTTCACCGGGAAGCACTCGTCGAGGCGCAGCTGCTGGAAGCCATCGCACGGGGTGAAGACCCACAAGAGCCCACTGAAAGCTCTGCAAAAGCCAATGAAGAGGTCCAGGGCAGATTCTGGGGGAAGAGTTCGGGGACTGGGGGCAAGAAGTCGCCCGCGACTCTCTTGCGCGTGGCCAGGCCTCCCCGTCCCCGCCGAGCCCCGCCTCCGCCTTGCGGGACTCCGCGGCTAGCCGCTCCTCCTCCGCGATGTCCTGCCGCCGAGGGGCAGGCAGCACAGCGGGCGCCGGGGCAGATGCGGAAGCGCGGCGGCCACGGCCAGGGCGACGGCAAGTTGTTGTTTCGGACGCTCTTGTGCGAGGCGGGGATGTATCCATGTCCACCGCCTGGGGAACCCACGTCCTGGGTCCCCAGGGGGCGGTGGAGATGGATACATTGGGCCCACTGGGGGCCGAAAATGTCCACAGCCACCGGCTCCCAGGTTCCAGGCAAATCGGTGTCCCAGGCGGTGGATGTAGGTGAAACTGAGTTTCGGCATCAGGGCGCATCTGAAGCTCTCGTGGCCATGGCTGGACGCGACTCGAAGACCCTGCCAAGATGGACCCTGGGAAGGGCCCCATGACCGATTCTTCAACGCCCCCTCCGCCCTCCGATTCGAGAGGCTGCCGCTGCAAGCGAATGTCCGGATCCTGTGATGTGCAACTGCACAACGGAGGCACCGATGGGCAGCTCCCCTGTCATGCTCTCCCAGCCGCATCTGGCTCCACACTTGGCTTGACACTATCAGGTACGATGTGTGAGTCCAACACGCTGGACAAGATCTCGACGCCCTCCCAATCCTGGACATCACCGATGTCCAGGATGTCACATCAGACATCATGTGCAGTCTGATGTCACATCAGTGCAGTCTGATGTCACATCAGACTGCACTGCTGGCAAGTGTGCTGCCCAGGCCTGCCTGTTTGCGACGGCAGGCCCCGCGTGATGCCCATGAGCCGCGCCGAGCCGCCCTCGCTCAGACTCGCCAAATGAGCTTGCAGCTTGCGGATGGCATCCCTGTCTCGGTCGACCAGCATCGATCCATCCAGTGTCTCGGATCCCCGTGTCGTGTGCTATAGCGGCCCACAAGCTCGCCATCTAGAGGGCGTCGAGATCATGTTGCCCGATGTGGTTTCCTCGGTCCCAGTGTCGTCCTCGCTGAACAGTGCCTGTTGGCACCACGTCTCGGCTGTTGTTTCAACATTGTACCGCACGAGTGCATCACAGCGCCTATACACCACAATGCCTGTGCACACCAAAGAACTGTGTACACCTACAGGGGCCCGACGGGGCAAACCCCAGAAGATCGTTTAGGGCCCGAACGCATCACATACAATGTGAGCCCTATTGATGACTCTGGCATTTGGGGCCCACGACGCTTGTGTAGAGTATAGCAGCAGCTGTGCACCCCACAGCGACTGTGTACACCACATCGCCTGTGTGTACCGCAAGGTCTGGACAATGCCTGTGTACACAACAGTGCTTGTGTATTCCACCATGCCTGTGTGCATCACAGCTGCTGCTGCAGCAGTTCTGTGCGCCGCAGCGCCTGTGCACACCATACCTATGTACAACATGTTGCCTGCGGGCACCACGCTCCCTGCGGATACAACGTGGCATATGTGCACTTATGCCTTCGTGCACCACGACACCTGCGTACACGACAGATGCCGCTACAGCGGCAGTACGGCGCAATGCCTGTGTACACACTGCATATGTGCAATCCCGGAAGCCTCCAGACGACGTCGCTCGTCGTCGTCGTCGTTGTCGTCGTTGTCCCGAGCCACTCCCAGCCCAACATGCCTCTGCCAGTACCACCGCGTCGTTATGCTCAACGCTCTCTGTGAACTCTCTTCAGACCCCCCACTCGGATCTCCACAAAGCGGAGGTGAGGGGGTGAGATCGAAATGGAACGGAGAGCCCCCCTACCGGGAAATCGATTTCGGTTTCGTGTTCGTGCGTGCCGTGCGTGCGGGCGAGGCGAAGCTGCGTGGGCGGGAAGTCTCCTGTAGCTGAGGCGCGGCCGGACCAAATGATTCCGGACCAGCGTCCGGTGGCCCGCGGTTTCCCGCCTCCGACTGAGGCGCGGCCGGACCAAATGATTCCGGACCGGCGTCCGGTAGCCCGCGGTGTCCCGCCAGTGTCCCGCCTCCGGCTGAGGCACGGCCGGACCAAATGATTCCGGACCGGCGTCCGGTGGCCCGCGGTGTCCCGCCGGTGTCCCGTCGGTGCCCCAATGATGATGATGATGATGATGATGATGATGATGATGATGATGATGATGATGATGATGATGATGTCAATGATGTTGATGATGATGGTGATGATGGTGATGATGATGGTGTCCCAGTGATAATGATGATGATGATCATGATGATGATGATGATGATGATGTTGACGATATTGATTATGATGGCAGTGGTGGTGATGATGGTGTCCCGATGATGGTCATGTTAATGATGCTGACGTTGCTGATGATGGTGTCCTGATGATGATGATGTTGATGATCCTGATGATGTTGATGATGCTGTGATGATGAGATGATAATGAAGACGATGATAATGATGATGGTGTGCCGGTAATGCTGATGAGGTTGATGATGCTGCTGTTGATGATGATGATGATGGTGATGATGATGATGGTGTCCCGATGACGATGATGTTGATGATGATGACGATGATGTTGATGATGCTGATGATGTTGATGATGAGGATGATGATGAGGTGATGATGATAATGTTGATGCTTGTGGCCCGATGATGATGCTGATGTTGATGATGATAATGATGGTGTCCCGATGATGGTGATGGTGATGATGATGGTGACGATGATGGTGTCCCAGTGATGATGATGCTGATGCTGATGGTGTTGCTGGTGATAATGATGATGGTGTCCCGATGATGGTGATGATGATGTTGATGATGTTGTTCATGATGATGAAGAGATGATGATGATGATGATGATGATGCTGATGGTGGTGTGTCGATGATGATGGTGTCCCGATGATGATGATGCTGATGATGATGGTGACGATGATGGTGTCCCCATTATGATGATGATGGTGATGATGATGTTGATGATGATGGTGATGAGCTGATGATGATGATGGTGTCCCGATGATGATGATGCTGTTGATGACGTTGATGACGATGATGTTGATGATGATGATGACGTTGATTGTGAGATCGATTGTAATGTCGATAGTGAGATCGATGGTGAGACCAAATTGAGATCGATTGTGCGATCGATAGAGAGATCGATCGTGAGATCGATTGTGAGATCGATAGTCAGATCGATTGTGAGATCGATCGAATGAAATAGATCGAGTGAGATCGATTGTGAGATCGATCGAGTGAGATCGATCGAGCGAGACCGATAGTGAGATCGATAGTGAGATCGATCGTGAGACCGATCGAGTGAGACGTTGGTTCTTCCCCCCCCCCGAACCTCCTTATCACTCGAAGGGTGGTCGTATAGGTAGGTTATCCAAGAGGAGGGGAGGGCGCGGGATCGATAACCCGTGCTATCGCCGACCCTTCCACCAACACTTCCTAACCATATCAGCATGTGTCCTCCCGGTTTCCATCCTGACTGACAAGTTGTACCAGGCAGATCCAGCCACGGCGACGACGAGCCAACAAGAGGCCTCCGAGAGAACGATTAACGCCAGGGAAGGCCCCCCTCTTCTCAACTGGCCCTCCTCCGATCCTTCCCCGGCCCGTCCCATACTGCCTCCTCCTCCTCCTCCTCCTCCTCCTCCTCCCCAGCAACCATCTCATCCTTGGATGCCTCCCAAATGCTGTCGGAGTAAATGGAGTCCGAGGAACGCGCCGCATTGCCAACGCATCACCGATGTATCGGCGATGCATCGGCGACGTTGGCGACGCATCAGCGCCTCCAGCGTGGAGAAGACCAGACTTGACATCCAGTCGCATCGCCAATGCATCGGCGATGTGGCGCGATCCTCCGACCCCATCCACTCGGACCCCATCTGGGAGGCCTAAACTCATTCCTCCTCACCTCCACCCCCTCGCAGGTCTCCCACAAGGGCCCCGCCGCGGCAGCGAACTCCCCGGGCGCCAGGAGGCCCCTGGTCGCAACGTGGCCTGCCGCCGGCTCTGGCGCACAGCTCTGCCCGCACCAGGCGAAGCGGCGGGGAGGGTCGGAGGGCCAGGCGAAACAACGGTGGCCCTCCCTGATGTCTTTCGTCCTCTTGTGGGCCTCCTGGAGGCTTCTAGCTGCCAGGGCTGGATCCGCCTTGAGTAACGGGTCTGGGTGGACCCCCTTAGAGGTCCTTGGACCGATTTTGGGCGGACTTGGGCTGTGCGGGGGAGCCGCCGTGCTCAATCGGGCCTCCAACCTGCGTGGATGAAGATCAAAAGTGGATGATAGGTGGGAGGGGGGATAAGTGTGTTGGGCAAAAGGGGGAAGGATCGGAGCGAGAGGAAGGGACGGGATGGGGGAGGGGAAGGGGATGGGGTGGAGGGAGCCGGAGGGGAGGGATTGTGATCAATGACGAAGTCATTCAACCACCGGCACGAATGCACGCTGGCTCTCAGAAGGAGGCCCAGGCACGAACGAATACGCCACCTGCTGAGGATGGACGTCGCACGGCTGTAGATTCAGTCCACACACGCTGCGAAATGCACGCATACAGAAACAACATCTCCAAGCAAACAAAGCAGAATGTGTTGGCAATGCACGGGGAAGGGATGGAGGGGGGAGTTTTTGTTCCATGAGCGTGCCTCTCGTGGCTCCCGCAAGACTGCCCAGGGTGGCCCCCCCGTGCTGCCCTGGACAGGCAGCCTGAACCCAGGGCGCAGGCGACTGCACGGCACCCCAGGGAGCGGCCACAGCGGTGGTGCTGGGCTGAGGACAAGCCGCTTCATGGCGTTCGGGCCACAACTCGGGCCTCCGACGGCCGTTCGGGACAGTTCTGGCAATCCCGGGGCCCCCCGTTGGGCCTCGACAGTCATCGAACACTGCCGAAAACCCCGGATCTGAGCCAGACCCACCCGACGAGGAGGAGCGAGGAAAGGGACACAGGACAATCCCAGCAGACAGCGCCACCGCGGAGGGCATCACGCGCCACGGGAGGAGCCAGGGCACCCCACGCCTCCGCACACCCCTACGCCAGGCCGCGGGGAAGGACGGCCCAGCACCCAGCCCGCGCAAGGTGCGAGCCACGCTCAGTGCCCACGTGCGGGCGAGCTGGGTGACCGGCCAGTGCAGCCAAAACGTGCACTAAGGACGGGTGGTAAGGATGCAAAGACCCTTGAAGGCCGACTTGGGATTTCTTGTTGGCGGTGGGCGACCAGCGAAAATGGCAAAGGACGGGCCGCAGAGGCAAGGACACAAGGGCACCCTAGATGAAGGCGCGCATCGGATCAAGGCACCCTTACTGGGCGCGCTGACTGCACAGAATCGGGAAACAGGTTCGAGTTGGATGGTGCGTCGGATCGTGCTGCATCGGATTGCATCGGCGAGAGGTCGGACTCGGATCGGATCGGCCGCGCCAGGATGCACAGCAGCGCCAACGATGAAGCATCGGGCCGCATCGGATCGGCGGAGATTCTGAATCGAATCGGATCGGGCTGGCTGGAATCGCCATCGGACATGGTCGATCGGATCGAAATGGACCATGAAGGGAGTATTGGCCCAAGGGGCTGAAACATTGACCTCGCCTTGGCGATACATCGCAAATAGATCGGCGATATGCTCTCCATCGCAAAAACGCGCGTTCCTGGGCACTACTACGAATGCGCCTCGGCGGGGCCGTCCACGGCCAGAGAAAAAGTTTGAAATAACCAGATGCCTCAAAAAGCTCCCTCCTCAGAGCCTGAATCAAAAGATTCTGCATCCGACGGCGGAGGAATCCCCTCCTCGCGCCGGCGCGCCCCAAGCGCAGCAACCCAGCCTTCGTCCTCCCGACGAAGCCCGAAACAAGACAAAATGTAGTCTCGTGTGGGCGGTTGGCGCGGGAGGTTGCGCCCGCTGGCATTGTGGCCGCAGGCGGCCTCTGCCCCCGCTGCCCCGCGCGTTCCTGGGCAGGGTAGGGACTGGGCGACACAGGCCCCGATCGGCGGCAAGTGGGCAATTTGGGCTCGATGTTTGTCCCCATAGGCCAGTCCTCCATTGCTGGCGCCGCTCAGATGGGAGGGGAGGGGTCCAAACCTCCTCGGGCCGCGAAAATCACAACGACGCAAGGCGTTTGGTCATTTTCGGCCTCCAGGGGTACTGCCCAGCCGCGAGGACAATTAAAAACCGACGCGCCCCTGGGAACGCATCGAAGCCTCCACGAGTCCATTCTAGAAGTCCACTTATGAAAGAACCCAACCCCCCCGACGTCGTGATGTTGCTCGCAACGTGGGCCTTCCGAGGTCTGGACCATTTTCATGGGACCAGCTTTACTAATCTTTTGACGGTTCAAGGGCCTGGTGCGGACCTGAAGCAGCACACGTTCTAGAACCCCTTCCTCGTCCAAATGGTTTCGCGACATGACATGTTATGGAAAAGAAGAACGACGTCGGAGGTCCGAAGGAGGAACTGGGTGGGGGTCACCGGCCGCGCAAGAGAGACCCTAGGCATCAGAGACCTCTAGTCTTCAGGCCACCGTTCGCCTCACGCGATGCGGCAGCAGCGGCGCGCATCCCAGAGGTCACTTTGGCGCCGCGCTCTCCGCTTCGAGTGGGGGATCGACTACACAATTGACTTACCCCAGAATGGAAATGCTCGGCGTATTGACAAGGGGGGAAACGTCACATGGATGTAGATTTACGAACATGCGACGTATCTTCCGTAGGTTCGACGAGCAAATCAATGGGCAAATCAATTCTGCAATCGTAGCTGGGGGATGGGGGGGGCGCAAGTCTCGGGCGGGTTGCGCTGGGGGGGACCAAAGTAAGGGGGCGGAGCGCGTTCGCACTCAGGACGCTGACCACTGTCGCAGCCCTCTTCGTGGGAAACGGGGTCTCGTCGGCATCAGAACTCGCTGGCGGCGCGACCCGAGCCGGCATCGTCGAACCCAATCGCCGCAACGCCGAGGTAGCCATGCTCTTGTGGCCCCAACGTGTGAGGGAACCCTGTCTGGACCCACCAGCCGTCGTCGAACTCGCGGGTGACCTAGCAATCGGCGCGGGTTCGGGCGAGCTCCTCGACGGCGAGCTGGAAGGCGGCGCGCGCCACCGGCCCTCGGTCTGCCCATGGCTGTCGGGCATTCCGCCGTCCGCCTCGGCCGATGATGGGCGGCCCAATCTCGAGCCTGGAGGAGGCTTCGGCAGGGCAGCGCTCCGAGGGGATCCACCTCGAGACGAAATCCGAATCTGAACATGTAGCTAGGGCTGATTGACGATATTGGCCGTCGATAACAGCGTCACTGGCCCGACCTTCACCCCGTGCGCAGACGAACCAGCAGCGACCCTAGCTCCGACGCAGCGACGCCCTCGGCTCGGCGCCACCGGCCCCTCACCGTTAGCCCCCGCTAGCTGGAGTCACCGATGTCGCCGCGCGCAATGTCGAACAGCTCGGGGGGGGTCTCATCGGGAGGGGCGCGGTCGATGAGGTTTGGAGGCTGCTCGGCATCACGGGCCTCAGGGAAGGCGCGCTGGCGGGCGCCCGCCGCGCCCTCCGCGGCTCGCCTCCAACGCTCGCTCTGTCGGCCCCAGCCTCGGGCCGCGTCCAACGGGTAGGTCTTGGCCACAAATTACGCCGAGGCCCCCGTCGTCCACAGCACTGGCGCCCTCCGCATCGGGCGCGGCGACGGTCGGACACCAGCGGCGCTTGGTGTCCGCGGAGGCGACGGGGAGTAAGACCATCCACGGCTTAACCCGCCCGCGGCTCGCAAAGTCGATGAACCGCGATATGGCATGCGGAATGCTTAATAGACAGCGTCGCGTAATATCAGACCAGAGAATATGGCCCACCGCGCGATGCAACGGCTCCCCCGTCGCATAGCCATCATCCAAGTTGGCTTGGATGGCGAGCCTCGCCAGCCAGCGCCGCGGGCGACCCGCGGAGATGCGCCTGCTGGCCCTGCCCAGGTTCATCCCTGTGAACTGGGTTTCGGGCGGCCCGTGTTTCAGCTTCTTGCGCTGCAGGCCGTCTGCGGCCAGCTGGTCGTACAGCTCCCCCCTGGCCATGCCCTCCACCGCGCGGTCGCTTGTGCCCGCGGCCCCCGCGTTGACGACGTAGATGGCCCCGCCAAAGTTCTCGCCCGTCATGGCGGGGGCCTGCTTGTGGCCCAGCAGGAAGGCCCCCGCTGACACGCCGGCTCAGAGGGCACTGGCGCTCGCCATCGCTGGGCAGGAGAAGAATGCCCATGACCAGCCCATGGCCCGACCTCAACGCGCGGGGACAAGTAGCCATAGGACGCCAGGCCCAACTTAGCACGCAGTTGTAGGTCTGCGCGGGATCTGCATCTGCAGTAGGCAGTGTCACCATCCATCTGCGATAAACTTAGCTCGTCCTCGATACCGATCTCCACGGACGCCCGCGAAGCAGGCGCCGGCAAGCGCGAGCGAGCTGGCTCGTCAAACACGGCATTCACTTAGCGGGTGTCTTATATATCATGCGCAAGGGTCCTTCTTTGCCGCGAACGAATCTGCCCGCGGTGGCACCCCCCTCCGGTCGGAGGCCAACGAGTTGGGCGCGCAGCATCTGCAATATGAAGTTGGCGTTTGAGCCTGGTCTGCGACAAGGGCTGGGTCGCTGCCAGGTTGAATTGCGCAGGCAGTCGAGGAAAAGCCAGCGTAGACCTCATCTCGCAATTGCCAAGCCAGACAGCGCCTGCTCGCCGTCCGCCAGGCCGCCGTTCGAAGGCATCGGAACTACGTCAGGCTGGAAGCTGCGCCTGGGGTTGTTGTCGGAATGCCCAGGGCGACTGCCGCCAAACTCCGCGAGGGCTTGCGCGGCGGTGCATGGGGGCGGGGACATGACATTGTAGATGCCCATAAGAATGCCAGCGCTGCGGCTCTGCGCCTCTGAGACGCCTGGGCCGGCGGAGGAGAACAAACAAAAAACCGTTCATCTCGTTGAGGTACTCCGCCGCCGAATTGACCTAGGACCTAGTCCTGCCAGCGCCGACGGACATGGGCACGACGCCGCGCTGCACGGCGCACAGAAGGCTGAGAATCCACAAGAACTTCTCAGGGAAACGGAGGAGCCACGGGCAGGAGCTCGCGCGCCGCCAGCATGTCCCGATTTCGGCGACTGGACGGGCGCCCAGCCGCCTGCACTCTCACCTCTTGTTGGCCCCCGCTCCGGCCCCGCCCGCGGCCGATCTGTGGGCCTTGGCAGCAACTCTCGCGATGACCTCGTCGGTCTTGCTCTTGCCCTTGCCGCCTTCCAGGCCTGATAGAAGCCCGTCCGCGGCATCGGTCAGTGGCGGCGCCCGCTGCTGGCGCGAAGCCTGGCCGGCCTGCAAGCGCCTCTCTTCGTTCATCTTCCTGGATTCCTTCGCGATGGTGTACTGACGGTGGAGCTCGAACGTCGCGAACTCCTCGAATAGCAGGCAGAGCATCAGCTGGTCGCGCACCTCTGCGACCCCCAGGTCCCAGGTGCAAGAACTCACCCTGCAGGATGGGGTCCATCTGTCCGTCTTTCTTCAGAAGCCCATGGTAGTGGCGATACTCCGCCAACTGGGAACGGCGAAGCAGCAGTTCGATGAAAGACAACTCTGGTGCATTCGCCTGAACATGTGTGCAAGCGCATTCCACTGCCTTCATCGCCGTTTCATGATCTGACACGCCAGGGTCGCTTCTGAGACGCCTAGGCCGGCGGAGGAGAAAAAAGGCAACCGTGCATCTCGTCAAGGCACTCCACCGCTGAATTGACCCAGTCCTGCCAGTGCCGACGGACATGGGCACGACGCAGCACCGCACGGCGCACAGACAAGCCACGCGTTGCTGTCCATCAAGAGTGTCGGGCACGAGGCCGACCGTTGGTCTGCAAGCACGTCGTCGTCGATGGCTGGAATCTGCCGACGAAGATTCCGAAACTGACGTGCTGCTCGAGCTCGTTCGTACAGGGAGGGCCTGATCATTTGTCAAATTCCAAGATCTGGCTCCAGTGCGACTGCGCTCACAAACACTGGTCACGGATCGGGTTCCCCTCGAGGTCGCACGGCGCGGGACCGACCAGCGGCGGGCAGCTCAGCTCCTCTGGGTAGATATCCCCCCTAGGTGTCATGACCCAGCGCATCTCGGCGTCGGCCACGTCGGGAGCTTCGCCCACAGTCCGTGTCAAGGTCGCCCCGTCGCAGCTATCGACGAATCTCTTGTGCCACGTGCTGCGGTCTGTACTGTAGCGAACTATGACCTCACGCCCTGGCCTCAAGAAGCAGTTCGCCAGGGACGGCATGGCGGCGCCAGTAGAAACGTGACGGGGCTGAACGTGGACGTTGCACAGAAGCATGATCTTTGCATAGCACAGGTCAGCGCGGATGATGCTAGGGGGCCGAGGGCAGGCCACACGAGCTTCGCAGCCTCCCAGAAGAGCGCAGGATGCAGTGAACGACATACACTTCAAGCGTCGCCGCCCCGAACAGACTTGAGCCTATCATAGATGTACACCTATCGCGGCCAACACCGAGAGAGCAAGACGTTCAGAGAACTGTCGCACATCCCCCGCGCCTGGGGCGACAAAAGGCACACAACACACTTCACAGTCCTGAGGACCAGGCAGATCTCTTGGGTCGGCGCTGGGCCCCCCGCGCACGCCACACGCGGGGAGCGCCGCCAAGGGGCGGGCGGAGCCGACCCAAGGAATCCGCGCGGACCTCCGACAATCCGTGCTCATGCTGCTGTTTGTTGCGTCGTGGGCGGGCGACGGCGTCAGTCGGCGGCGCGCGAAGGGGGGAAGCGAGAAGGAGAAGGCCTTCTCAGAAGGCGGCGGGGCTTCTCAGAAGGCCTCTGTCCTTCTGAAAGGTGTTCTGTGTCTTCGAGGAGGGCTTGGATCTCAGAAGGCCCGGGGACTTCTGGGCCTTTTGAGAAGGCCCGTCCCTTCTCACTTCCCCGCCGGGCTCGCGGCCGAGTCATGGAAGAGGGAAGGGAGGTAAATCCCGACGTAGCGATTTTGCTCGCAACGAAGATCCCAGGTGTCCCGACACCATCCCTAAGACCCGTGTATCAAGGGGCCGCCAAACACTACTTTGGATTTAAATGAAAGGCCCCGGCCGGGGCCCGGCGGAGTCACCCGAAAGCCCAGCACGGTGAACGAAGCATCAGTCGCGATATCCTCGCGACGCGAGGAGGTGGCTGGCCGCCTCTTATCTGGAACTCCATCGCGAGCCTGGGGGGCACGGCGAGCTCTGCTCGAACCTCGGCTGCGCGGCCGCGGGTTCTCACCGAGCGTTTTCCGGCCGCCGGGCCCCGGCTGGGCGGCCCCGCGGGTGCGAAAGAGCCACCTGGGAGCATCCGAGAGGCCCCCGAGAGGCGACGCAGCGGGCGCGCAATGCTGCTGCCAGGCCCCCCCCTGCAGCGCCTGCTGCGCAAGTGCCCCCCGCGCTGTGGCGGACGTCAGTGGCAGCGCAGCCGAACATGCCCAGGCGGTGCCAGGAACAAGTGCCCTGGGAAAGAGTCGTGGCAGCATCTAGGGCTTGCGTAGACCCCCAAACCCAGAGTCCATGATTTGATGGGTCGACGATTTCAAAGCTCCCCCGCCTCCCCTTCCTCCTTCTACGGGCAACTACTCGGGGTCTGTAGTTTCTGGTTTGTGGAGCCGGCGGCGTCGACCGACCGCGCAGACCTGGCTGCACCGCCACGTGCCATATCGCAAGACAGAAGCAGCCGTTCCCTCCTGTCCTGCTCAACGTCCATTTCCTTCATTCTCCCCTGATCCTCCGCGCACCGCCTGGCCAGACCAATCGGGCATGACTGGCTCTGCCCCTGCCACAACATCAAAATTGCGGAAACATGAACTTTCGGAGATCCGCGCGGATCTCTTGGATCGGCGCTTGGGGGAGCAACAGCAGTAGGCATCAATGACACGCCGCCGTGTGGAAGCCAACATGATGTCACTGTTGAGGGGGCGCCCTGCCTTCGGACAGCAACTCAGGAGGGCTCCCACTGGCGGAATGCCACTTACGCTCTTTCCCTCCCGAACGCTGACTCTCTTCCACCTCCTGGCGCGCGGACCGCGCCAGGGGCGGCGGCCGAGGCGCCGCCCGTGGGCGGCCAGCGAGAAGCCGTCTCAGTCTTCGGAGAAGGCTTGGACAGCTCGTCAAAGGCGCCGGGGCTTCTGAGAAGCCCCGGCGCCTTCGGAGATGGCCCGCCCCCTGCCTCTTCCCCCCAGGCTCGCCGCCGCAAAAAAGCCACTCGAGGACAATCATCGACTACACGCAAGAGAAGACCCTGGGCAATTAAGAGTGACCTCTGGTGCGCGGCTCATTGGGGGCCGCGGGGGGGACCAACACACAAGGCAAGCAAGACGCCAACACCGCATCGCGCTCGGCGAGCGCTCGGCGATCGGGGGACCCCATTGGACCCGCACCAAAGGTCACTCCGGCGAAAGGTCCCTTATACTTGAGCAGGGACCGAGCGTACCAGCGTTTCTGTAGGCCTACCACGACATGTTCTTAGAACCCAAGAGTGCTCTAAGAACGAAAGCGCTGTTCTTAGAACATAAGCCCGAGGTGATGAAACAAGACGGCCCCAGCCAGAGCTGCTCCAAGCACGTCTCGAGCAGACCCCAAGAGGCTCTTGGAACAGTCTCTGGTGGGCCTACAGGCGAGCCAAGACGCTTCGCCACTGCCTGATATCTACACGTAGCCGACATCGCGTGCCCGCCTGCCTCTGCTCTCCGACCTGCGGCCACCGGCCGGCACGCCCCGCGCGGGGCGCGGAGGGCCCCCCGCCGGGCCGAGGCCGCCGCCACGAGGAGGCAGAGAGCCCCGCCCATGGCGGCCGAGGCCGCCCCCGGGCGGCGAGAGCGGCCCAGCCGAGGCTGTGGCCCGCCGAGGCCGCCGCGGGCCGCCGAGCCGCCCGCGGGCGTGGGCGTGGGCGTGGGCGCGGGCGCGGGCGCGGGCTGTGGGTGTGGCTTTGGGCGTTGGCGTTAGGTGTTTGTTCGGGGCCGGGCGTGGGCGTGGCCGTGGGCGTGGGCCTGGGCCTGGGCCTGGGTCTGGGCGCGCGCGTGCGCCCTCTTGCGCGCCGTCCGCGCGCCCTGGCCGCCGTGGCGGGCCGGGTCCCGCCGGGGAGGCCGAGGGCCCGCCTTATGACGTTCCAATCTACTCTAGCCTTGATTGCCAAAACGAATTTCGTGCACCAAGAAAGTGTCGAAACTTGAAGGTTTTCACGTGTCGGGCCCTGGGAGGCGATATTCGTTCAACACTGTTTATGTACCTTTCTGGGTGCTCGAGTTTATTTCTGGGATGTGGTCCTTAAGTACGATGGGAGCAGCATAAGGCCCGCCGAGGATGTGATGAACCCGGCCACGTGCTCGCGTCGTGAAGAAAAAACAAGGCGGGAGGTGTTTGGCCGCTGTCGGCATCTTATAAGAGGCCCTCGCCGGGGGGCCCCGGGCCGTCAAGGATCGACTCAGGGTCCAAAGCCAGCTCCTGGGGAAGGGGTCGAGAACTCTGGGGGGGGTCGACGATGCGAAAAAACACGACGTCGGGGGCCCCTAGAAGCCATGTAAGGAGCACCATCGGAGGAACGACGGAGCTCTCCTGACCACGGCGAGCCTCGGCCACGGAGAGGATCCCCGTCCTGGATCTGAGCTTCTCAAGGGGACCTCCGTTCAGCGGCTTGGCTGCGAGGTGCCCAGGCCCAGACCTCCTCGGGTAATGAAAACATCATGACGGGGAGTTTTTCAATTTTCGGCCTCTGGGGGCCCTTGCCAGCCCTCGGGAATGGGTCGAGACCTCCAGGGGTCGACATAAGAAGAAAATCATGACGCAGGGGGTCTGGGGAGGGAAACGGCTCCTGGACCTCGCCCCCCCCCCTCCCCGGGGCCAACTCTTCATCCCACAGGCCGCTTCCTGACAGCCCTGGGGCCTGGGGGGGCCCAGACCAGCCGGCTACCTCGAGGCGCCCTGGATCCATCAGAAGAGCGCTTCCTTCAGGCCTGTGCCCTGGTGCCCTGGCCCCCCGGACCCCAACGCCCGACGCCCAGCCATTGCTCAAAACGTGGACCCCCGGAGGTCTGGAACCCTTTCCCAGAGCTGCCTCCTCATCCTGGACCGTTGTTTGACGGTCCTCGGGCTCAGAAAAGGCCCCCGAAGCCGGACCGACTGCCACAAATCTTCCGCCGTGGTCTCTATACGCCGCGTGACGCTCTAGGGACAGGGCCAGCTTCCCGTGAAAAATTGAGACGCCGTGAAAAATCGATCCAATCTTTCTGCGCCAATGTTCAAGCCAGATCGATCCGTGAGGGTCCTGGGGCCCGAAATTGCGCGAAAACGTCCAGCTCAAAAAATTGAGTCGCCAAGATCTCAGCTCAGGAAATGCGCTGGATCTCCGGGTTCCTTCGAGGCAGCCGGAGCGCCGGCGCACAGCCCTATGCGAGGCGCCGGGGCCGGCCGGGAGCGGCCTCGCGGGTGCGGCCGAGGCCCCCGCGGCGGTCGCCGGCGCGGCGCCCGCGGCGCACTGCCGCGCGCAGCCCAGCGCCACCGCGGCGGCCCAGGCGGGCAGGCGCCGCCGCGGCGGGCGCATTGCCGCAGGGAGCGGGCGTCCAGACGGCCGCGGGGGCGGCCGGAGCTCCGACGATGTGATCTGCTCCATCAGAAACATAGTTTTCTCCGTGGACTGCGGCCTCTGCGGCCCGCTGTCGGGCCCCGGGGGTCACCAAGCACGGATCCGGGCCGCAAGCTTACCTTAGAGGCCATCTGGATAGGGTCTGGGTAGATGGGGTCGGAGAATCGCCGAGGCATCGCCGATGCATCGAGGAAGCATCAGCGACGTCGGCGGTGTCTTTGCGACGCCAGCGCGGGCAAAGACTGGGCCCCACTCATCGAGCCGCATCACCGACACATCGACGATGCGGCGCGATCCGACTCCATCTACTCGGACCCCTTGCGGGCCCAACTAGACACCTCCAGGGAAACGGTTGGGATCCTTGGTGTGGACGCCAGAGACGGATACGGAAGACATGGGTACAATCCCCAACAACAAATGTTGTCCCAAACCGGCAGCGGCCGCTGTGGGGCAGGAGGCCTTCTGTCTTTAAAGAACAACGTCCGCGGCGGCGCGGACAGCGCGTCCTGCTCAAAATGAGCAGGGGCTGCTGTTGGGCATCCTACCCGTTCTTTCCGTACCCGTTCGATCGTCCCGACTTGGGGCCGCGGATGAAACAGCATCAAATCGGAGGATGTCGGAAGAGGGGCGGCTGGCGGCTCCGCCACGGCCAGAAGGCTGCCGCAGAGGCCTTAGCCCCCTCGCGCGCGCGACGGACATGACTTTCGCCAATGGCCTGGGGGCCCTTCCCAGCCCCCGGGGCAAAGAGTCGGCTCGGGATGAAAAGCCGATCGGTCCCGGGGAAGGGGCCCTCATCATCCATCGACCTGAGGTACAGCAAAACCACGCCTTGCAGAGCCCGGGTTGCAGCAATGCGTATAATGTGGCAAACGTAAACATCCCGTCGCAGGGCACGTGTCCCTTTCGTCGTCCTGGCTGGGCGCAGCTCGCAGGGGGCTCAACGAGCGATAGGCCAGCGAGCGCTCGCCTCTCGGCTTTCATGGTGAACTACAGAGCCTAGATGTATATTTATTCGCCGACCCCCTTGCGGGGCCATCAGGCTGCGAAGATTACGCTTGCAGCGCCCTTGCAGCGCCCTGTGCCAGGTGCAGTTTCCAGTTTCCACTGTTACAATCCTGCTTTCTGCTTCCTTACTGTTAATTGCTGCTGAACGCGCGAGGGGGGGAGCCGAAAAGCGTCCTGGCTAGCGTCCCCAAATCGCCTGGTCTGAATTCCCGGAGGGTCGTGGGACACGCAAAAATATATGAGAGTCGCGTCCCCAAGGCCATAATGTTTAATACATTACGCTATAGTCGCGTCCCCGAAGCCAGATAACCTTTTGTAAATTGCATTACATTCGCGTCCCCAAAACCACAAACCATCACACATTACGCTACATTCGCCCCACCGAGGCCATAAGCCCTTGCAAATTATGAAATGGTCGCGTTCCCGAAGCCAAACTTTCGAACATTGAACAAAGTTCGCGTCCCCATGGCCATAAACCTATGTGAATTACACCGTGCGTGCGCTCCTGAGGTCACAGACCCTTACACATTACCAGCGATTCGCGTCCCCGATGCGATACACCTGAATAAAGTATGCAATGATTGTGTTCTCGAGAGCGTACACCCTCGTAAATTACTGAATACTTGCGCCCCCGAGGCAACACACCTTTGTACATTACACCATACTCGCGCCCCCGAAGCAATAAGCCATCGTACATTACCTAATATTCGCGCCACCGAAACCATAAACCCTCGTAAATGCAGCTGGGCCCTCGCGTGAAGTGCCGACAATGCCTCACGTCAGCGCCCAGACATCCCAACACGCTCTGGCAAGTCCCATTCAAAAAGAACGGGGGCCGGCGGCATGGGGGCGAAACCTTTTTACGGATACACAGCAGAGCTATCATGCCATTGAAAACGCCAGCCTAAAACAGTCACCGAAGACCTTTGGTGACTTCCCAATTCCCCCCTTCGTCCGACCCAGCAACCGCTGCCAGAGCGAAAACTCCGACGTCGTGAAATTTGGGCAACATGCATTTCTGGAGATCTGGACCGTTTCCTGGGGACAAGCTTCGCATGTTGAGACGCGTCCCTGGCAAGGGGGCCCCCCAAAGGCCGACCATGACGAAACATATTCCGCCGTGATTGTTGTTCCCATCACGCGAAGAGGGCTTGAATCGAAACTTTAGAGTTGGGGCGCGTCTGGCCCCTTCTGGGACCCCGCAGGCCTCCGAGGGCTCTCGGAACTCTCTGGGAACACTCCTTGGGGGCACAAGCAAAGCCCCCGAAGGCTCTCTGAAGCCTCCGTGGCAGCTAAGAGGAGGAGGAGGAGGCGGCGGAGGAGGAGGAGGAGGAGGAGGAGGAGGAGGAGGAGGAGGAGGAGGCAGCCTCCGCTCCGCGGGCGGCAAAGGCGCGGGCGCCTTCCTCTTGCCCCCGACGCGGCAAGACCACCTCCTGGCTGACGAGCACCTGCAACCAGCACTCGCCCTCCGGCTGCGCTTGCCACTGCCCGAGGGAACCAGCCCCACCTGCCTGCGGCGGAAGAGCGACGGCACGGTCTGCGGCTGCGACCTGCGCGCGGGCCCCGGCCACGCGGTAGGCTGCCCCGCGGGCGGCCTAGCCATCGAGAAGCACGACGGCGTGCGCGACTGGCTGGCTGGCTGGCTGGCTGAGCAGAGCGCCGCGGGCGTAGACACCGAGCAGGCCGTGCCCGCCTGGGACCGCGCCCGCCCGGACGGCAGCGTGGAAGCCGCGCGCTTGGACGTGACCTACGTTGACCCTGTCGCTGGGCGGCAGTACGTCGACGTCACGGTCACCGACGCTGCGCTCGGGGCTGGCACGGGCGCGGGCCGCAGCCGCGCGACCAGGGACGGCGCCGCGGCCGCAGCGGCCGAAGAGCGCAAGCACCGGCGCTATTCAGGGCCCGCGCTCCTCGCCTTCGCACTCGAGACGCTGGGCCGGCCTGGGAAGGAGGCGCAGGCCCTGCTGCGCACTTGGTCTGCTGGGGACCCACAAGTCCTCGCGGCCGCGCGGCAAAGCCTCTCTGCCGCGCTGCAGCGGGGCAACGCCGAAGCCTGGCGGACTGCCGTGCTGCCGCGGGGCGGCACGGCGCGGCGGACGCCTGCCGCGGACCCCGGCGCGCCGCCAGCGCGGCGCGCGCGGCGCGCGTAAGCGCGCCTGCCCTGGCTGCTGACCGCTGACCAGGCGCGACCCGCGGCCCGGCCCCCCGGCGCCGCCGCGGCTGTTGGAACTGCACCCCACGCCGCGGACGCTGCGGCGTGGCCGCCGCGGGCGCGCATTGGGCCAGGTGGGGGAGGATTCAGACCTCCTACGTCACAACCTCCTGGCCCGCGGCCCGCGGCGGCGCCCGGCGCCGCGCGGCGCGGCGCCCGGCGGCGGCGGCGGCGGCGGCTCGGCGGCGGCGCGCCCGGCGGCGGCGCGCCCGGCGGCGGCGCACGGCGGCGCGGGGCGCGGCGGCCGCGCGTGCCGCGCTCGCCGAAAGGCCCCGGGCTCCCCGCGGACTCGGGGGCCCCGGGGCCACGCCGCCGGGAGGAGGAGGAGGAGGGGGAGGGGGAAGGGGAGGGGGGAGGGGGAGGGAGGAGGAGGAGGGAGGGGGCGAGGGGGACGAGGAGGAGGAGGAGGAGGAGGAGGAGGAGGAGGAGGCAAAAGAGGAGGCAAAGGAGGAGGCGGCGGCGAATCGGCACCGCGGGCCGTGCATCGAAAATAGACTTCGGAAGAACCACGCCTCCAAGGATCCTCAAAGATGTGCGACCGACCGTGCACTATCACGTGAAGAAATCTGGTCCCCGCGGGGGAGCCACGAGTGGAAACCTGCTCAACCACGATGCACCCTCGGAGCACTGACCTGGGTCGGCCCAAGCAAGCAACAACGACGGGAGAGGCCCCATGGGGAGGGGCACGAGAGAAGGCGGGCGACCGCATCTTTCCGCGAGAGGCGAGCGCCGTGTCTCCCGCTCCCGCAAGCGGGAGTACGAGTCACAGCAATCATCAACCCGCAGAAAGGCGTGACCCCCCGAAGGTGAGAAGGATAATCACGTGCCCCAGACGTTGAAGGGCCCCGCAGACAGGCCGAGGCCAAGGAGCAGGAACGGCGAGAAAAGCGGAAGACGAACGACGACACGACGCCGAGACGACAGAAACGACAGCAGACCCAGGTCAGCAAAAAAGAAAAGGCCCCTCAAGCCTATCGAATAAAAAGCCCCATCCGTTCTTTGAAACTGCACATCTGATTCTGCTGCTGCAAACGTGGCCCGACTGGGGCCTCACTCCTCGAACGATTCGAGTATCTCGGAACTCCTCCCGTCGGAAGCTGGGCGGCGCTCGTTGGTGGTACCGCGCGCGTGGGTGGTGGAACTCTGCCTGCTGGAGTTGTCGTCGTCGTCACATTCCCTCGAACTCGTCGATGGCCATCTGTAGGATTCTCTCCGCGTTGGAGCGGGGAGCGATCCCTTCTTTCTCCCCCCCCCCCCCCCCCTCCCTATTGATTCACACAATCGCAGAAGACGCGCTGCATCTCCTTGTCGGTCAGAGACACGATCAGCTTGGCCTGATTCTCTTCGAACCCTAAGACTAAAGTCGTGCTGCGTGCTGGTGTTGTATAGCTTCTGCTTGTGGGCCCCCCATGCCGCGCGATTCCTCGCGCCTGCGCGGTCTCCCTCTTGGGCGATCTGATCTGCTACGAACATGAAGATCTGACAGCGCGCTGGCCCCGTGTGTACCTCCGGTAGTGGTGCCGCTGTTGTTTTTTGTTTTTTTCGCGCGGGCCTCGCCCATGGCCGCGGCTGCGGTTGCGCGGACTCGCCCCGCCTGGAACGCAGTTCTCTCTCTCTCTCTCTCTCTCTCTCTCTCTCTCTCTCTCTCTCTCTCTCTCTCTCTTTCTCTCTCTCTCTCTCTAGAGAGAGAGAGAGGGGAAAAAAGAGAGAGAGAGAGAGAGAGAGAGAGAGAGAGAGAGAG